ACACTCCGTATTTTTTATTCCATAGTAAGGGCAATTCATACAATACATTTAAACTGAGCTACTTTAATACCATCTCCGAACTTTCTACCACGACTCTGCTGTTCTTCGGCTGGTTCTTCCCTGTATACGTTGATTGACAGATGTCTCCTCCAGTCAGCGGTGAGTAATCCCAAACCAAAGGCACTGTCTCAAACTATACCTACCTCTTCCGGTTTGTCTGATTTGTCGTTGTGTTTTCTGACTTGTTATTTTGTTTTCGAATTTGTCATTGTGTTTTCTGACTTGTTATAATGTTTTCTGAATTGTTGTTGTGCTTTCTGAATTGTTGTTTTGTTTTTTAGACTTGCATTTGCATTTGTAATTTGTTATTTTGTTTTCAGAATTGTGATTTGCTTTGCACTTCTCAATCACCATACAAAGCCACCTTATTACGGATTTTCTAGAGCTCAACCATCCAACTACACAGACTGTCAGCACACACTCAGCAGGTAAATAATTTAATTCTCAAACTGTCTATAAATTTTAACTTTTGAATTATAACTGGTTTCTGACCAGTCGTGTCTTTTTCTGTTTTTAGTTATTTTAATAAAACACAACCCCACAACCCTGATTATCTACAGAGAGAAGCTGCCACTCAAAATATACACATAATGATGGACATGAAGATCATAGGGGATTGTGAAGATATTTCACTGAGCTCTCTTTCACTGTCTTTCACTCTCATCTGTTTTTGTTTCTATTTATGTATTTATTCATGTTCAATGCCAGTTATCATGTATTCAGCTAATAACTGTTGTTAGAGCACTGTCATTTGTGCTACAATTTCAATAAAATGTCAATAAAAAATAAAAGTACCAAATTCACATGGCTTGCCATTTTTTATGCAAAACCCTAATAGAGACCACAAGATACTATAAGACAAGGCAAACAGAGGGGTAAAAACAATATTAATAAACAACAACAACAACAAAAAAGAATAATAATGAAAATGTTATGCATGTTAGAGTTTTCATTTAAAATTATTAGAGCTTAATTAGATACTTCTTTAAGCACTTACATACATTTTTGCTTATTTGACACAGGATCTGGGGTTGTCACCCAATGATGACATCAACACCTGCATTCTCCACTGACTGTTTTAAATTACTTTCTCACATTGAAAATGTGAAAGTGGAGGTGATAGAACAAGTGTTGTTGAATTACCAACTAAACTGGATAAAATTAAAATGAAATGTAGTATCTTTATTAGCAAAATATTTTTTGTGATTTTGAAAACATTTAATACTTAATTAAAACATTTAATATAAAAAAACGCAAATTGTCTTTAAAAAGTAAGTTATAATATTAACACATACTTAAATGTAATATGTATTTTGTTAGGCCAGGGGTGTCCAATCCTGCTCCTGGAGGGCCACTGTCCTGTAGAGTTTAGCTCCAACCCCAATTAGACACACCTGAACCAGCTAATCAAGGTCTTACTTGGCATAGAGTAAACTTCCAGGCAGGTGTGTTGAGGCAAGCAAGACACTGGCCCTCCAGGACTGAGTTTGGACACCCCTGTGTTAGGCAGATGATGGTAATATAGAAATACTGCATCCAATGTTGGAGTGCACCATTTCCATAACCACAAGACCTACCTACTGTATTGTTAGAGGAGTAGCAACAAAGTGATAGCTTCTTTGATGTTTTGTGTTTTTGAACATCCATGCAATGTTATCATTATTGTTTTTGGCTATTTCACAGAACCAATTCATTGTGTATTTGAAGACAGCCAGCAAGTGGTGTGTGGAACACTCAAAATGTGCTTGTTTCTGTTCAGCTACCCAAAATACTGTGCATGCATGGAGGAACAAGACCAAGGCCAAGTTATTGAAGGTTGAATTACAGAAGACAGGAATGATGCTCTGGAACCCTCCAGTTTTGTTTTTACTCAGACGCAAACATAGGCTGCTGTATATTAAATATACAATTTAAAAAGAGATCAATCTTGATTTTAGAGATTTCGAATTATTGAACTATCAAATCATTTTTGCTCTTTTTTTTCTGGAAATAATCCAGTAATATTTGTAATTACATTTGGAACCGTTTGGGAAGTGTTATAACGTTTTATTGTTATTCGTTTTTACATAGTATTTATTATTATTATTATTATTATTGTTATTAAATCATAACGTCATGAGATCATGAATCTCACCTTGAATGTCCTAAGGGTGAGTAAATTAGCAAATTTTAACTTTTGGCTGAACTATCACTTTAAGCATTTAAAGCGGCAGAAAACATAACTCCAGCGCATTTATAATAAACAGTATCTTTATCGTTTTCGTTCTTGGTGTGAACGGGCCTTAAGGACTATTAAACACATTAAACACAACCAGATATTCTAGAATGTAATGTGTGCTTTAGATCGCTTTAGAATGTTTTGTCTTAACAACATCTTAAATTAACTGGTATTATTATAATATTAACTTTATTAACTTTTTACTACAGTATTTAATTTAACTAAATTAATTTGAATACATTCGCTTACATCAACAAAATATTCAGGTCGGATAGAAATACCTGACATCTGCATATTTTTCACATTATATTCATAGTATCTAAAAAATAAAAATAAAAATTATATGAATAATTAACACCAATATAACACACGCGAAATGACTGGAGGAGTTAACATGGAAACTTACCCGAGAACCCAAAAATAGAACCACCAGATGAACTTAAGCATTACGTAGCCAGCTATTAGCCCCCTATTTAGAAGCATATATATTCAGTTAATGCAAATAGTTTATGCAGTCAGACATGAAAAGCTTTACATTTACATTTACATTTAGTCATTTAGCAGACGCTTTTATCCAAAGCGACTTACAATTGGGGGATACATAACGCGATTCTTCTTAAAGAGGCAAACAGACACAGGAAGTGGTTGTAATACCAAGTTCTTAGACATTGTTCAAATAAGTACAAGCTAGAAAGAGAAGGAATAAATAAATGGGTACTTTACTAAAGTACTTTAAATTTGTACTTTACTAAGTAATCCATTGCATTTGAAAAATAAACTTTCCGTAAAGAACCCCTGCTTGGTACGTGTAGATTTCTAAACTCCAGCTGAAAGCTGGCAAACATGAGTCACGCATCACATGTTACATTGATCACATCATCCGCTACATTTGAATCCACTGAGGAAACTGCGAAAAACACGACAGCGAAGTCAGCAAAGTTATACATGCCATATTTACCCAGCGAGATCCTGACATGGATTACTCAATCTGTCAGAGGGGAGAGTGTTTGTAAGTGAACTTCCCGGGACTCTCTTTAGCTGATTGGAACTCTGCTGCTTAACACAGTTGGCTGACTCACAACAATCATTTCCATTCACTGTGGTATGGCAGGAATGTGTGTGCCCTGACCGCTAGGCAACATGCGCTCCTGGGTCCTAGCACGAGTTCAGGATCTGTGGAGACGCGCGTGGACATTAATATTTTTGCTCGACTTTCCAGTAAGTGTATGGAAAACCCGCCTTAGGGGAAAAAAATATCATATATAAACAAAACATATTTTTCTTAAATATATACATGCATGTGTGTGTATTTATATATACATAATAAATATACACAGTACACACACATATATTATGTAAACAAAAACGTTTATTTTGGATGTGATTAATCGTTGGACAACACTAATATAAATACATAAATAAATATTTTTTTATATATACACCATGGTTTTAATATTTTACATTTTTTCAGCATCCACTCAACATTTCAACAATAACCAAACATAACTGTTGAGTCTAACCATTTTATTCATAATTGTTTATGCAATCTTATTGTGATAACTTTTATTATGAATTTCCTTTTTTATTATGATGGCTGAGCATCTGCCGGGACTCTCATTTTCCCTTATAATTCTTATAATTATTTTTCTCAGAGAGCCCATTTTGTCTCCACGCTAGTTCTATAGTGCTTATCCTTCCTCTCAACAGATCCCCTACCCCCACCCACACTGCCAGGCTCCAGAAAGCCCTCAATGGCATCAGAGCTTCTGTCACCCATCAGCAGAGATAAATAAAGCAGATCTGTCCTGAGGGTGATAGGGTAGAAAATATAAATATGTTGCATGCCCTTGCTCTCCAGGTATGAGGTAAATTCAACAGAGACCAGCTAAGGGTCATCATCAATCATAATTGTGGGAAGTCCTAGCATGAGAAAAGTCCAGAGTCAACAATGTCAACAATGACATGGGTTCCCAGACAGCAACATAGTGTTGGCCCAGATCCGGCCCACATCTTGGGGAAAAAAATAAATATATAAATATATAATTAGTGCTGTCGAAAGATTAATCGCATCCAAAATAGAAGTTTTTGTTTACATAATATACTGTATGTGTGTGTTGCGGGCCAGATGTGGGCCGGATCTGGGCTGAAACTGTCTGCTGTCTGGGTTGTCACGGTGGTCACAATGAAGCACAAAATAACCATTCGTTTTAAACAAGGGAAAATACCTTATTTATTTGGGTTACAACGCAAGTAGACAGTGTTTCGTCTTATTCTCTTATTCAAGAGTTATAATAAAAAAGAGGACTGGATTAAAACTAGGGCTGCCCCGAACAGAGATAAAAAAATTTAAAAAAAATAAATAAAAAAAGTATAATTACCATGAATGTGTCGGGGGAAATATTAAATAGATATTAGAATTATTTATTAATAAACTAGTGTTTTCTAAGTCAGTGTCTGAAAGATGAAGTTGACGAGACTCGCCATCTCCTCACTGGACACGCCTTTAGAGAGAAATGCATCTTTAAGGATTATATAATGAAAGAGTTTTTGTTTTTGATTTGAATTATTTAATTTTAAAGAAATTTGAAGCTTTCAATAGATATATTTATCATCTATGTGAGGCAAATATTCACTGAGTTTCGGTTCATTTTTGTGAAGTGCTCCTGTTCAAGACGAGAAGGCAGAAAGCGCATCCTGTTTGTTTTCTTTATTTTACAAAAACACAACGTTTTGTTGTGAGTACACACAAATAAAAGTAGACCATTTACGGTGTATAATTATGTATTACTCTTGTCTTTATGAGCAAAAATGACGGCGCATTTCAAGTTGTTTCCACTGTTATTAGGAAAAAAAATGCAAGTGATCACGCTGGTGCCTCCATGTCCTAATAACTGAGTACTTTAGCTTGCACTCTCCGGATTTAACTTGGTTAAACGTTTAAACTAACATATGCTTGAAGTGTTTTATATCTATAGATTTTATTTTATTTCAAGCCGTGATGATTTGAGAAGGCTAAATTGATCAAACAGGCTATGATCAACTCACTGTCTGCCGCTGGCCGCTTGGTCGTTATATATATTAAAAAAAAAATTTGAATTTTACAAACAAAAAATGTTCCAAACATATTTCTAAATTAACTTCACAAAGAAACGAAAATAAATATAACCACTTTGCCATTAAAAACTAAACAGAACTATTTTAATGGCTGCAACAGCAGCTGTGTATAATGGGGACGAGCATGGACTTCGCTAGCCGATTTTTAGGGGGCTATAGCCCCCCTAAAATGATTACTCAGCCCCCCCTAAAAATTTTGCGATTAGCTACATAAACTGTACACGAATTCGTGATCGCCTCAGTCCCCTTTAAATTTCATATGAAAACGGCGGCAGACTTCGGCTCCTCCCCGTCTTTCAGCGCGTTCTTCAGTCCGCAGAGGCGCAGAGCGAGAAACAGAGGACAAGGTGTGTTTATCGATAGATTGTTATAATATCTGCATCTGTGCAGTTCTTTGTCATAAAGACAGTTTACAAAATATCATGGGGGAGCAATCGGTTTTCCATTGCCATTTTTATTTGAAATTTTTACTTTTAATATAAAACATTAATTACAGTGCATATGGCACATAGTTTTGCATACTTGAGCTAAAGAAAGAGGGTTGTACTAGCTTAACCATATTTTGGGGACAAATTTGTACCCAAAAGTGAGCTAAACATGACAAAATCTCCAAAAAACCTTCCTTTGGGGACGTCCTCATTTGTAAAACTCGTATAAAAATAAAGAAAACAACGTTTTTTTTTAATTGTAAAAATGCAGAAAGTTTCCCGTAAGGGGTAGGGTGTAGGGTGATAGAATATACAGTTTGTACAGTATAAAAACCATTACGCCTATGGAATGTCCCCATTTAGATAGCTAAGTAAACGTGTGTGTGTGTGTGTGTGTGTGTGTGAGA